AGTAGTAGTAGTAGTAGTAGTAGTAGTAGTAGTAGTAGTAGTCGTAGTCGTAGTAGTAGTAGTAGTAGTAGTAGTAGTAGTAGTAGTAGTAGTAGTAGTTGTAGTAGTAGTAGCAGCAGCAGCAGCAGCAGCAGTAGTAGTAGTAGTAGTAGTAGTAGTAGTAGTAGTATTAGTTGTAGTAGTAGTAGTAGTAGTAGTAGTAGTAGTAGTAGTAGTCGCAATAGTCGCAGTAGTCGCAGTAGTCGTAGTAGTCGTAGTCGCCGTAGTAATCGTAGTAGTAGTAGTAGTAGTAGTAGTAGTAGTAGTAGTAGTAGTAGTAGTAGTAGTAGTAGTAGTAGTAGTAGTAGTAGTCGTGGTGGTGGTGGTGGAGATGGTGGTGGTGGTGGTGTTCACAGTAGTAGTAGTAGTAGTAGTAGTAGTAGTAGGAGTAGGAGTAGGAGTAGGAGTAGTAGTAGTAGTAGTAGTAGTAGTAGTAGTAGTAGTAGTAGTAGTAGTAGTAGTAGTAGTAATAGTACTGGTAGGTGGTGGTAGTAGTAGTAGTAGCCGTAATTGTAGTCGTAGTCGTGGTCGTAGTCGCAGTAGTAGTGGTATTAATGGTACGCAAAAATGCAGTCCGCGAGCGGGCGGGCCCCTCGGCATGTGAGATGGCGCAGGCCTGTAGGCCATTCAACAAACCAACCAACCAGCAAGGCAGGCAACCAACCAGCCACCCAGCCAGCGAGCCAACCGAGCAGCCAACCAGCCAAAGAACCAGCCAGCCAGCCAACCAGGCCACCAACCAACTGCCAACCAGCCACGAGGGGGCGGAGCGTGCCGAGAGGCATCTCTGAATAAAGCTGGCGGTGGCGGCACGCAAAATGCAATCCGAGAGCGAGTTTTTGTGCGCCACGGCGGCGAGCGGTTGTCCCCGCGGGCAGCTGAGGAATCCCGAAGAATCCGAAGGAATCCTGGGGAATCCCGAAGAGTCCGAAGGAATCCTTAGGAATTCCGAAGAATCCGAAGGAATCCCAAGGAATTCCGAAGAATCCGAAAGAGTCCTGAGGAATTCCGAAGAATCCGAAGGAATCCGGAGGAATTCCAAAGATCCCATCCATGGTTGTAATTGGTCTCATTTCTGGTTGGAATTGGTCTCATTTCTGGTTGCAATTCGCTCCGAACGGTTGGAATTGGGACTAGTCGGTTGTAATTCGTTCCATTTCGGGTCTGAACCCCCCCCCCCCCTTCCAGCGCCAAGGGGGGGAGGGGGGGGGAGGGGTCCGGACCCCCCTCCCTTCATGGGGGGGTGGGGGGGGGGGGTTCGGACCCCCCCCCCCTCAAGGGGGGAGGGGGGGGGGGGGGTTCGGCCCCCCCCCTCTTCAGGGGGGGAGGGGGGGGGGAGGGGGTTACGGACCTCCCGCCCTCCATGGATGGGGGGGACGGGGGGGGGGTTTTGCACCCCCCCCCCCTAGTGTATTCAGCGACATCCAGTGGCGCACTTTCCCAAAGGCTACCCCACGCACTCAGCGCAACGCGCGTCCGACGTCGACCAGGGAAACCGACGGAGGACTGCACCGGCACGCCGCGAACTCCAGTTCCTGGATCGACGTGTCTGGTTGGGCGTTCTCGCCATCGCTCGGGCGGCCATTCCCCGTGCATGTTTCGGTTTCGTGCGCGTTTTTTGCTTGTTTGCTCGATGATCCAGGATGCTCCTAGATGGTCCTCGCGTAGGAAAAAAAACGTACACGTCCGAGCGATGCCAAGCCGTTGACTCTCGAAGATAGCAGCACCGCACAAGCATAGGCCTTCGGAGATCCGCGCTGCGGCGTCGCCAGGGAGGGCCCAGCGCAGATCCAATAAATTCGCGCGGGCCTCCGATTTTTCCCCACACGCCAGGTTGGGGGTGTTGGATTTGACAAACAAGCCGGGCTCGGCCTAAACGGTGTTTTTTGTTTTCGTTTTGGTGTCGTTTTCCCTCGTTTGTGTTCAATCCACCTTTACCGCAAGACGACACCGAAAAGACAAAGGCCCACGAACTCGCCCAAACACCTTTCAGGCCGACCCCTGTCCCCACGACAGGCTGGGGCTGTTGGATATATTCATTTGTTTGATAATAAAGAAACCCGACAACCTCCCCGACCCGTCCCGCACACCGCAGACTTGGCGGCGCGCACAGGGGGGTATGGGGAAGCACCCCTGTTTCTTAGAAGGCGCCGGCAAACTGATGTTGTCTGGCTGCAGGAGTGGGCGCCCGAGGGGAGGAACAGCCGCAGAGGAGAGGAGGGAGGGAGAGGGCACTCACGGCTGCAAGCGTTTCAGAATGAGCGCGCCGGAGCGACCCGCCGGGGCTGAAGTGACCTGGCAGTGGACGCGGGACCAGGGCTGCAGGCGCTGGAAGCGTGCAGAGCAAGGCGAAACAGTACTGAAGGAAGAGGGACCACGGGGCGGCAGGAGCGGGAGCATCCGGTTGTCACACACACACACACACACTTTTGGGCGGTAGCGGCCTCGCGCTCGGTGAGGCGGAGTAAGCAGAACAGTAACGCGCGGTCGCGGCCGTGCCGTCAAGAAGCGCTCAGGATTCGTCGCCCCTGCTGGCATCAGCCATCCGGGCGTTGCTAATTAGCAGGAAGGAGACACGCCAACCGATGGCCCTGCCCAGTCGGAGGCATGAGCAGCGGAGGTGATGCATCAGTACATCTGAGCGTGGATGCCAGGAAGGAGACACGCATGCCGCATGCCGAGGGACCTGCAAGCGCCAATACTGGTGGCGGTGCCAACCTCAAGGCCTGCGACCGGCCCGCTGGGCGCAGGTGGTCCAGCGGGTAAGTTCTTCCATGTGCAGCCCCCCTCTTCCCCTTCGGGGAGAAGCTTTTGCCTCTCTCTCCCTCCTCCTCCTCCTCCTCCTCCTCCTCCTCCTCCTCCTCCTCCTCCTCCTCCTCCTCCTGATCCTCCTGATCCTCCTGATCCTCCTGATCCTCCTGCTCCTGCTCCTGCTCCTGCTCCTGCTCCTGCTCCTCCTCCTCCTCCTCCTCCTCCTCCTCCTCCTTCCCACCACTCTCTCTCTCTCTCTCGGCCGTGAGGTCATCTTGACGCAACCATTCCGCCCCCTGGGGCATGTCGGCCCCGGGAGGGCTGATCAAACTGATATGCCAGAAGGCCCCGTGGGGACTTTCGGCAGGTCGAAGATTTGCGAGAATGTCTGTAGGAGGCGAACTTGTAGTAAACCCACGGAAAGGACGTGCGCGCCCAAGCACGCACATGAACACGGCCCCCCAGTCCGCGAGACCAGCCTCGTGATACGCACGTTCGCGCAAACGCTCGCGACCGACGTGGATTCGCGTACGATTGCGCCCTCCTGCTCGCTCCTGAAAACTGGCAGAAGTGACAAGGGACAGAGGGCAGGGGTGGGGGATCACAACAACTTTCCCCCGTAACTGTCCCCCTCGGGTTCCCTGGGCCTGGAGCCCTCCACCCGCGGTTCGAGGCTCCGCGACGGCCGACAAAAAGTCTGGAACCGGCGCGGTGGGCCGCGGCTTCCGCGGCCAAAGCTCGGCGGCCGCCGCACATCCCAGCAGCCCTCCTCCTCCTGCTCCTCCTGCTCCTCCTGCTCCTCCTGCTCCTGCTCCCTGCTCCTCCTCCTCCTCCTCCTCCTCCTCCTCCTCCTCTCTCCTCCTCCTGCTCTTCCTCCTCCTCCTCCTCCTTCCCCCTCCTCCTCCTCCTCCTCCTCCTCCTCCTCCTCCTCCTCCTCCTCCTCACTGCCACGCTGAAGCATGGTCTTACGCGAGATGACAGCGCGACCTTCCGCCACGGCTGACGCGGGCCGCCAGCGCGGCACACCTCGTGGGGAACGAGGGCGCCTGCGCGCGACCTCACGCGGGCAGCCTGCGCGCGAATGTCGGCGCAGTTAAACCCCTTTCTTTTTGAATTCGTCGCCCAAGTGGTTCACCGAGCCAGTTCCTCCGACCCCACGGGCATACCCAGAGACGCTCCTGGATGGGCCGGTGAGACTAAATAGACACAAATCCCGAGAGCCCCCATCGCTTCCCAAATCTTGTGGGTTTTCGTCTTCCCCTCGACTTCCCATATTTTCCCGCATTTTCCTGGGAGTCGGCGATGAATTGTGTCTGTGTGTTTTTGTTCCCCTCCTGACATACGCGAAGCGTCAATAATTCAGACTCGGCGGCGGGGCTCAGACCCCGACGTCATGTTTTTTGCTCGTAGCTTCGACCCCCAGAGGTACAGTAGGGGCTCAACCACAAGAGACCTTCCACAAGAAACCCAACCCTGCGACCCCAGGACGTCCGTTGAATTTCGGTGTGGGAGCTTCACGCTTTACATCGCAAAAACAACGCAATCCAAGAAACCCAGGGCACCCTAGAGACGAGCCGGGTGCTTCTTGGCATGGGTCTCCACTGCAAGACGAAGCCAGGACGAGGATACAATCGGGTGAGGATACATCGGGAATCTCTGAGGTGCGGCGGATCTGGAGGATGCCTCGGGCGCAGCGGTGAGCGTTCCGGAACGCTCTGAGAGCGCTCTGGAACGCTCTGGAACGGACGTATCCTCGTCCCAGCCCCGTCGGAAGAGGACTTGACCCATTCCCAAGGACCGGCTTTTTTCATCCTGCGTCGTTCTGTGGACGGCCCCGAGGCCAGGCGAGGGCCCCCAGCGGAGCCGAAAATGAGCAAAACCGCCCGTCGCCCGAAGGGAACTGAAAGGGATGCGTTGAGCAGGGACCGACCGTCCCGGCATTCCTATAGGCCTAGCACGAAGCGTTCCTAGAACGCCCGAATGTTCTAAGAACAAAGGCAACGTTCTTAGAACATGAACCCGACGTGTTAAAACAAGACAGTCCCAGCCAGAAATGTTCCAAGAACATTTCGTGCAAAAGGAGTGTTCGAACACTCTTTGGTGGGCCTATAGGCGGACAGCCAGGACGCTTCGCCACTGCTTGAGATGCGGCGGCGGCCGAGGCTGCGGTGGCTTCCGCTGCGCTGCGACCTGGCGCCGCGCGCGCGCGCCTCCACGCCGCTGGCGTGGTCGGAGTCGGCGTGCAGCAGCTCGGGGCCGTCTGGCGGCCGCTGGAAGCGAAGGCCCGCGATGCGCTCCGTGCCCTCGCTGCGGGAGGGGGAGAAGGAGGAGGAGGAGGAGGAGGAGGAGGAGGAGGAGGAGGAGAAGGAGGGGGAGGAGGAGGAGGAGGAGGAGGAGGAGGAGGAGGAGGAGAGGAAAGGAGGAGGAGGAGGAAGTGGGAGGAGGAGGAGGGGAGGGGAGGAGGAAAGAAGGGCGCTGCAAGAGACCCCATACGACAGGTTCGTGGCTCGTCGACTTCGGCGGTGGTCGCTGCGGGGGGAGGGGGGGGGCGCTGCAAGAGACCCCTACGGCAGGTTCGTGCCGCGTCGACTTCGGCCGTGGTCGCTGCGGGGGGAGGGGGGCGCTGCAAGAGACCCCTACGGCAGGTTCGTGCCGCGTCGACTTGGGCTGTGCTCGCTGCGGGGGGAGGGGGGGCGCTGCAAGACCCCTACGAAATGTTCGTACCGCGTCGAGTTGGGCGGTGGTTCCTGACTTCGATGGTATCGTTCCAGCTGGAACGATCGGCTGTCCTCGAAGCGTCAGCTCGTTCATCATCGACCGATTCTGGGTCGCCGGCGGCGCTCAGCGTTGAACACCGGCGGCAGGCGGCTGCCGGTCGACACGACGCTACTGTACCTCCTCGTGGGCGTTTTCTTACTCGGCGTGTCGACATTGGGCGGAAGGGGGGGTCTGGCTCCGGACCTCTGCTTAGTGCGACTGTTTGGAACCGTGCGTCCTATGGGGGAGACTCCACCTGCTCGAAACTGGCGCCAAAAACAACCAATATCTACTCTATGGAAAGGGGGGAGGCGGGGTGCGAGGGCCCGCGCCGATCGGCAAAACAAGGAATAAAAAACGACCACCTCTCGTCGTGGGAAATCCAGTTTCGAGGATCCCAGTTCGAGGATCGAGGTTCGAGGGAGCCTGTCGCTCTTTGTCGACCCCTCGAGCGCGTCCTCGTCGGCGCGACTGGAGCCCCCTCGAAAAATCCTGGCCGGAGCGCACCCCAGGCGAGGTCTGGGGGCGGGGAGCAGGTTAAAGAGGTTCCCAGACCCCTGACGTCATGATTTTTTCATGACGTCGACCCCCAGGTGTCTGGACCCTTTCCTGGGGCTCTTCATCCTGAGTCGTCTTCTGACGGTCCCGAGGCCCGGCAAGGGCCCCCAAAGGCCGAAAATAGCTAAAAACCTCCCGTCGTGATCTTTGTCACAGCCCTCGGGGTTCGAGGCTTTCGGGCGTCTTCGTCTGTGCCTCGGGATGCATCTCAGAGAAGCCCTCGTCTCTCGTAGACGGCGACAATGATGCGCGGTGGGTGGGTAGATGCACACCGAGGTGGTTGGGAATTTAGGGTTTAGGGTTCATGGTTCAGGATTTAGGGCTTCTCTGCCCGCGGAGGACGACAGTTTAAAGCAATGCTGCCCCCCCTTTCGGCAAAGCGCCTGGAAAGACTTCCCGGAGGACCTGGCCGGGCTCCCACTTTGCGGTTGCGGTGGTCTGGCTACTTATAAGCTGGGTTATATAAAAGGCATCGCGGCTTATAAGACCAACAAGTCAATTCATAAACCTGTCAACCAGAACGAGCCAACTTATAACACAGCATGCACTTATATGTATTCTGTGCTGATATAAGTTGACATAAGGCAGCGGTGTAACCAGAGGGCGCGGAAGATACTAATTCCACTAAGCATGTTACATCAGAGGTATAAGTCAAGAAAAAGTTAGGGTTCCACATATATCTCACATAACACTTACGAAGCAGTTACGAAACAGTTACGAAACAGTTATAAATCAGTTACAAAACAATTACGAAACAGTTATGAACTGGTTGCACACAAAACACACGGTGTGCCTAGTGTGTACCAATTTCAGAAGAGGGCCCCGAGGAAGGTGCCCAAGTAGATTTCTCCACGAGGGCCTCGATGATCATTAAAGCTTTTCGGGGCCGTCTTGGGGCGCTCTTGGGGTCAACTTAGGGATTCGCGAAGGACCGAGGGGCTCCACGAGGGGCCCAGGGGGCCCAAGGAGGGCGCCCAAGATGCCCCAAGTGGGCTCCACGAGGGTTCAAGACGCTTCCATGATCATGGAGGCGTCTCGGGGCTGTCTGGGGGCCCTCTTGGGGTCCGCTTTGGGTCCTCTTATGGGTTCGCGAGGGATTGAGGGGGTCCGCAAAAAGCCCAGGCAGGGGTCCTCTTGAGGAAGAGGAGGAGGAGGAGGAGGAGGAGGAGGAGGAGGAGGAGGAGGAGGAGGATGGACCAGGCTAACTGTTGGGCTACACTTGACATGTTCGAAAGCGGTTGAGAACATGGGCCCGAGAGGTTCGGAAAAAGGGGGAGAAAATCAGAGGATCATCGAAGAACGAAGAGAAAGAGGAGTGGGAGGAAGAGAAGGGGGAGAATGACAAGGAGGAGGAGGAGAAGGAGGAGGAGGAGGAGGAGGAGGAGGAGGGAAGAGGAGGAGGAGGAGGAGGAGGAGGAGGCAAAGGAGCATCACCCTCATCATCATCATCATCATCATCATCATCATCATCATCATCATCATCATCATCATCATCATCATCATCATCACCATCATCACCATCATCATCAGCAGCATCATCATCATCAGCATCACCCTCATAACCAGCATAAGCATCAGCATCATCATCGTCACCAGCATGATCGCCATCATCGCCACCAACAACAACATCACCACCAACACAATCACCACCACCACCACCACATCATCATCATCATCATCATCATCATCATCATCATCATCATCATCATCATCATCATCATCATGGGCATCATCATCACCATCATCATCATCATCAGCCTCATAATCATCGTCATCATCATCACCATCATCATCCTCATCATCAGCATCATCATCATCACCATCATCATCCTCATCAGCAGCATCATCATCAGAATCAGCATATCATCACCATCATCATACTCATCATCATCACACGCATCACCATCCTCAGCGCCATCATCGTCGCCATCGCCATCGTCGTCAGTATCATCATCATCATCATCATCATCATCATCATCATCATCATCATCATCATCATCGGCATCGCCGCCATTAGCATCACCATCATCGTCATAGTCATCGTTATCATCATCAGCATCATCGCAAGCAACATCATCATCACCAACACCAACATCATTACCATTACCATCAGCATCGCCAGCGTCATCACCGTCATCAGCATCAGCATCATCAGCGCCATCACCCGCATCGACAACATCATCATCGTCAGCAGCATCATCATCACCATCATCATGCTCATCATCATCACCATCATCGTCATCATCATCACCATCATAATCATCATCATCAGTACCATGATCACCATCATCAGCATCCTCACAATCATCGCCATTTTCACGACATAACAAAACATAACCTCATGCACCGTAACATACAACAGCATCGCATATCATCAGGGGGGAGGAGAATGGAGGAAGAGGTGCGACAGGAAGGTCCGCGCGGTCACAGTGATAGCAATGACCCCATCCGTTGTAGAAAAGAAAAGCAGCATGGGAGAGTAACAGAGAAACGATAGGGAGAGGGAGAGAGAGAGAGAGAGATAGAGAGAGAGAGGGAGAGAGAGAGAGAGAGAGAGAGAGACGTGAGAGAGGGGACAGGGAGGCGACGCCTCGACATTCGCAGGGGCGTCCAAATGGGTGGGGCATCTACTGAGCGTCCACTGGGCGTCCACTGAGCGTGCGCTGAGCGTCCACTGAGCGTCCACTGGGCATCCACTGGGCGCCCACTGGGCGTCCACTGAGCGTCCACTGAGCGTCCACTGAGCGTCCACTGAGCATCCACTGGGCGCCCACTGGGCGTCCACTGAGCGTCCACTGAGCGTCCACTGAGCGTCCACTGAGCGTCCACTGGGCGTCCACTGGGCGTCCACATGGCGTCCAGTGGGCGCCCACTGAGCGCCCACTGAGCGTCCAGTGGGCGTCCACTGGGCGCCCAGGGCGTCCACTGAGCGTCCACTGAGCGTTCGCTGGGCGTCCACTGAGCAGGGCGCGAGCCTTCCCCCGTCGCGGCCCCAAGGCCCCCCCCCCCCCCCCCCCGGCAGAAAAGACGAGTTTGAACATCCAAGAAACACACAGAATTGTCCCAGTGCGACCCTACCTAGGAGTTGGAGCCCTAGGAAAGCAGCATAGTAGTAACAGCTAGGAAGCTAAGCTAAAGCTAAGCTAAAGCTAAGCTAGCTAAGCTAAGCTAAAAGCTAAGCTAAAGCTAAGCTAAAGCTAAGCTAAAAGCTAAAGCTAAGCTAAAGCTAAGCTAAAGCTAAGCTAAAGTTAAGCTAAAGCTAAGCTAAAGCTAAGCTAAAGCTTAAGCTAAAGCTAAGCTAAAGCTAAGCTAAAGCTAAGCTAAAGCTAAGCTAAAGCTAAGCTAAAGCTAAGCTAAAGCTAAGCTAAAGCTAAGCTAAAGCTAAATAAAGCTAAAGCTAAGCTGAAGCTAAGCTAAGCTAAGCTACAGCTAAGCTAAAGCTAAGCTAAGGCTAGGCTAAAGCTAAGCTAAAGCTAAAGCAGCTAAAGCTAAGCTGAAGCTAAGCAAGCAGCTAAGCTGCTAAGCTAGCTAAGCTAAGCTAAGCTAAAGCTAAGCTAAAGCTAAGCTAAAAGCTAAGCTAAGCTAAAGCTAAGCTAAAGCTAAGCTAAGCTAAGCTAAGCTAAAGCTAAGCTAAAGCTAAGCTAAAGCTAAGCTAAAGCTAAGCTAAAGCTAAGCTAAAGCTAAGCTAAAGCTAAAGCTAAAGCTAAAGCTAAGCTAAGCTAAGCTAAGCTACAGCTAAGCTACAGCTAAAGCTAAAGCTAAGCTAAAGCTAAGCTAAAGCTAAGCTAAAGCTAAGCTAAAGCTAAGCTAAAGCTAAGCTAAGCTAAAGCTAAGCTAAAGCTAAGCTAAAGCTAAGCTAAAGCTAAAGCTAAGCTAAAGCTAAAGCTAAGGCTAAAGCTCCCAGGGGACTGGGGGAACCGCGGGGCGGGGACTGGGGGAACCGCCCGGGGCGGTTAGCATTGCCCGGCCCTTTAAGCAAAGAGAGTAA